TGGCCCTCCTCTGGACCTGCTCCAACAGGTCCGTGTCTTGTGCTGGGGACCCCAGAGCTGGATGCAGTGCTCCAGGTGGGATCTCGAGAGCAGAGTAGAGGGGGAGAATCACTTCCCTCAACCTGCTGGCCACGCTTCCTTTTATGCAGCCCAGGACATGACTGGCTTTCTGGGCTGCAAGCGCATGTTGCCAGCTTGTGTCCACTTTTTCATCCACCAGTATCCCCAAGTCCTCGGCAGGGCTGCTCTCAATCCCTTCATCCCCCAGACAGTGTTGATACTGGGGATTGCTTTGACCCAAGTGCAGGACCTTGCACTTGGCCTTGCTGAACTTCATGAGGTTCGTGTAGGCCCGCTCCTCATGCCTGTCAAGGTCCCTCTGGGTGGCATCCCTTCCCTCTAGTGTATAGACTTGCACCACTCAGCTTGGTGTCATCTGCAAACTTGCTGAGGGTGCACTCGATCCCACTGTCTGTATCACTGATGAAGGCACTAAATAGTATTGGTCCCAGTACGGACCCTTGAGGGACACCACTTGTTACTGGTTTCCACTTGGACATTGAGCCATTGACTGTAACTCTTTGGACGCGGCCATCCAGCCAATTCCTTAGCCATCTAATAGTCCATCCATCAAATCTATTTCTCTCCGATTTAGAGGTAAGAATGTTGGGGGGGACCATATTGAAGGCCTTACAGAAGTCCAGGTAGGTGACATCAGTTGTTCTTCCCTTGTCCATTGATGCAATCACTCCATTGTAGAAGGCCACCAGATTAGTCAGGCGATTAAAAGTTAAACTCCTCAGGTCAAGGTCTGAGTTATGAATGTGTTTGCTATTACCTTTTGACTCTTTGCTTGTTTTAAAAAAAGAAAAAATAAGGGCTTGCATTGGTTTAAATAGGCAGTTGATGCCTCCACCAGCTTTTCCTGTCACTGGGATGAAATCGGAATCTGAAGAAAGAAATGGCGCGGGGTCTTTACCAGGCAACCATGGTGAGTGCGATGAATAAAATACACTTGTAAGTCAAGTTTCCTTTCCTAAATGAGTTTGTGCTGGTCTTAACGCTCTTTAAATCGGTGATTTTTTTGGCTGTTCTTTACACCACATTGTTTAAGTGAAAAGCAGGTCGTATTGCACTGCTCTAAAATCACTTAGGTTCGCTGTGATTATACACACGTGATACTTCTCTTAAAACTTTAATATCTGTATGAATGAGGAGAGTGTAATTAAGTGAAGGACCAAAGACAGGTATTTTTGACCCATCAGTCAGCTGAGGCACAGAATCTCACGGGATTGTTTTGTAACACAGATATGTGGCTTTACATTGTGAACAGCTTATCTCTAGAGGCACTAAGGAGTATCAGTGGGAGTTATGGTTCAGGTGTGTATTTACAGACATGAGTTACGTCTGCCTTGTCTGCAAACAACAGAAGTGCTGTCAAATTTCATCCTTTTGTAGGGCTTTCATACATCGAATATTTGCAACTTGGTAAAACATGTAATCATTTTAACTCTCCTGGTAGTTTAGTGCCTTTCAGGTCTGCAGGTACATCTGTTAGTCTGTTTAACCTTAGTTTTTCTGCAGTATTGGTCCCAGAGATTGCTCTTCTGTTAGCTTTCTTTTGAACAAAATTTCTACTTTTCTTTACATATTTATCTCTTTAACGGTGAAATTGCCATCACTTAGACCCATTTGCTAACTTTACCTTTTTTGTGTGTTTCTTTCTTCTTTCTCTGTTCTCTTACATGGTTCTGATGGATCACATGTGCTGTTGCTGGTGCTGTTTCGTGTGGCCTTCGACCTTGGATGACCATTGGCCTTGTGACCTCAAAATGGTGTCCAACTAACAATTTACAATTAACATCTTTTTTTATTAACTCGTTTTGGGGCATTTTATCTCTTTTTATTTTTTTTCCTTCTTGGGGGCTGGGGGGATTGTTTTGTTTTCCCCTCCTAGATCATCAGGCTAAGAAGATGAAAACTGCAGAAAAGGGCTTTGGATTAGTAGCATATGCTGGAGATTCATCCGATGAAGAGGAGGAACATGGTGGCCATAAAAACGCAAGTACTTTTTCACAGGGATGGAGTTTGGGATACCAGTACCCTTCCTCACAACAGCGAGCTAAACAACAGATGCCATTTTGGATGGCACCATAAAAGCTGCAGAAGAGTTTTCGTTCATCTTTTTTTTTTTTTTCCTTCCCCTCTAGCAATAATGCATGTATATTACAAAATGAACTTTGCAAATAGGCATTGTTTTTACATTTGCAGAAGCTAAAGGTTCAGTATTCCCCCTTGAAAAGGGCTCCATTATTTTTAAAATCCTTCTTTCTGCAGTGAATTTGTCAATTAAAAAAACATTTGAAATAGTATTCTGACAGGGCTAGTCCCTTATACAATGGGGGAAGTACTGTAAAGAGAAACTAGGGAAGCCTGTCGGTCCACGTTTCCAATTTTTCCAGGATAACTTAAAAATGGAAAGAGTCAGTCACGCTGACTTCATTCTACACCTGGTGTTTGTATTTTATTGACTGTTCCTGCTGTCAGCCTGTGTTAGCAGTCCCGTTGAGCTAATGGTGACCCCGGCTTCAATGTTCGGACTTTCAACAAAGGAAAGGAATATACAGTAGTTCTGAAAGACTTGAGGATCGCATTTCCTAGAACTCGTAATTTGTTTTTACTTTAAGCATCTCCTGTAACTCAGCACTGTTTTTTCTTGAAAATGTGGTTTTACTAACCCCACAACTTCTTGTTCTAGCCAAATGTCGGGGCGGGGGGGGGGGGGGCCCCGTTTTTTTGGGCGGGGTACACTTCCCCCTAATCCCCAGGTGGACTTGGCGCTGTAGCACTGGTACTTAATCTTCTCCAGTCACCCCTGTGCATTTCGTTCCCATTCAGCAGTTCGGACGGAACTCCTTCTCGTGAGGCTCGCCCCCATCTCCTAACTCATTCACTTACTTGATTCTACCCTTTCTGTTTCATGGTGGTTTAACAAAGAAAAGGCAGGCAGCAGCCGGGTCCGCGCCGCGCCGGGACCCCAGCGCAGGCCTTGCTCTTGCCTTGAAGCGCGGAAGTGGAACCTGGGAATAAGTTGTTGGATTGTTTACGGATGTGAACTGCAACACGGGCTTTCGTGGCGGGGTGGGCTGTTGCAGAAGGAACTCTTTGTGTATGGAGGTCAGCGGCGTGTGGGACTGCGAGGAAGTGCTGGTCAGCTTTCCAAATGGGAGGAATAGTTTGAAACATGGGGACGTGTGTCGCTGCTGCACACTGAAAGACCTTGCTGGCTCACTTGTACAAACATTGTCTTTGCTATGTGTTGTAAATAATCAGAACCGTACTTTCATTATAAATAAATGTACAAATATTCTGCTTCTCGGTGCTTTTTTGGGTGAGGTTTGACCGCGGTGCAGCCGGGCCCTGCCGGGCAGTTC